AAGAAATACAAACAGGTTTCTTGGAAGTTTTTGAAAGCTGGGGAAGGACTAGAACCGTTGATGGAACTTAGTATGTAATACCAGCACACTGACTTTTTTTCAGTAGTGTCAAGTAAAGTCAGAATGTTTCGTAGCAGAGAGACTTTCAAAACAGGAAATTTGAGCCAGTTTTCAGCTTCCTGCTATATTTGCAGAGCATGAGAAGACAGCATTAAATTGGCAAGGCTACCTAAACAGTATAGTCAACTAAGAATTAAAAGTCCTTTAAACTGGTGGAAACATAGTAAGACACTCAAAGCATTTAATGCTACAATAATATCAAATAGATTTAAAACCTCTGGTTGCTGTAGTTACTTAAGTTCTTAAGAAAAATCATTTTTTGTTGAACTGGTTTTATATTGTACTAGTTTGCACATACCAACTCATTTTAGAGATTGACTTTTAGAGAAAATTATATTACTAAGCAGTCTTATAGTTCCCCCATGATTTAAAAACAATCTCTACTTTATAATGACTATATAAGCGTATTCACATTAAGTGCTCAGTTTTAAAATGAAAACTATCAGAAATATATATCTTAAAATGAACTATTTAAGCATTTCTTTTTTTGGTAGATTGTCCACTGCTGGACTGATAAGCTACTTACACTCATTTGGGGAGGATGTGTCTAAAGCTTATAACTCCCAATTCTGATGAACCCATTCTCCTCATGAACCCTCACATGTCTAAATGTCTAATTTCTTCATTGTTTTAACTTCTATTTCCTGGTAAGCTTTACAAGGGAGGGAACTGAAATATGAATAGCATAATAACCACATGGTATATGGGCAGACTCTAGCCTGGCATGAAGCAGCCGAAATGAACTGGCAAGCATAAGTGGCTATATGACTCTACCAGGTTCCAAAGGAGCAGCAGCTTTCAGGTATCCTAGGGAATTGTGCATTATTAACAAGACTAAAATGTTTTTAATAAGTCTGATTTGCCAAGGTAAAAGACTTGTTTTTGCCTTTTGTGTTTGGCAGCATCATCAGTCAAGGAGGGAGCTGGAAGCTACCCAGATTTGCCAGGGCAAAACTTTCACAGCCTTGGGCAAGATCTGGAACGCAAGCTGAACGGGTGCTTGATTTACACATTTTCCAGTACTAAGTTTCACAACTGCTGTTTAACAAATAATAAATCAATAATGGTAGTGAGGAAATTTTACAGGGCCATGTTCAGGATCTAAAAATATCAGTATACATACATGTTCCCTTAAGCTGGTCTAGGGGGTTGAAATATTGATTGGTGTAGGAACTATAGCCTTGCTTGAACATTTCACTGGTTTAATTCAGTCTAGGGTGGTAGAGATTGAAAAATATTCAAAATAAATTAAATTCTGCAGTGACAGTAAAATTCAAATATAATTCAAATCCAATATTCTCCTAACAAAATAATCCTTTTTCTGAAAAATTTGATTAGGAGGAACCTAAATGAATTATTTAACTTGCTGATTTTGCCAAGCGCAAACAGTGAGGGGCTTACAAAAACTTTTAATCTGATAAATATATCTGGAACTGCAGGTAAGAAATTAGGAAATGTGCTTCTATAGCTCATATAAATGAGGGGCCAAAGAGAGGAAAAATTCTGTTGAATTACCTCAAATCCCATGTGTAGGGATGGCTTTTTTAACTTAAAGTTGTAAGATATAATTGTATCAAACTTATAATGTTCCTGAATATATTGACCAATGAATCTTTTGGTTTTTAACAATATAGTAGCTTTCATGAATGTCAAATGACAAATGAAAGAATTCTGCTTTACTGGATAAGAGCAGAGAACTTTTATTAAAATACACTTTTGTTTCTAATTAAAAAATAAATATTGCCTAATGAAACCTAATCCAAATCAAGTTAAAAGAAATAATAAAACACACACACACATAGGTTTTCAGAGACCCTGATAAAAAACATGTCAAGGAAGTTATTATTTATATCCATTGATAAAAGAGACAACAAAGGCTCAGACTGCTTCATTGTTTTTAAAAGTCACATGGCTCTGTTTTGGAGAACTAAGATTAGAATCTTGTTTTAGTTTTTTTTTTTTTTTTGCGGTACGCGGGCCTCTCACTGCTGTGGCCTCTCCCGTTACGGAGCAAGGCTCCGGACTTGCAGGCTCAGTGGCCATAGCTCACGGGCCTAGCCGCTCCGCGGCATGTGGGATCTCCCTGGACTGGGGCATGAACCCGTGTCCCCTGCATCGGCAGGCGGACTCTCAACCATTGCGCCACCAGGGAAGCCCTAGAATCTTGTTTTATTAACTGCCAGCCATTTTTCCCCATCTATAAAACAACATATATGCTTGGGGTTTTCTGGTTGTAGATAATTTTATTTCTATTTTGTAAGAACAGGAGCAAAATAGTTCTGGAAATATGAACACACCTTGACACAAAATAAAACTCATTTCCCTTGTTTTTTATATCAATATACCTAAATAATGATACTACCATATTATGTGTGTGCTTCACAGCTGCTAAGAGACCACACAACCAGGTAAACTGCATGATTCCTGGATTATACATCATGTATTCCCTCCCTCTCCTTAACAGCTAGGCAACAGTTTACGTGCACCAATAATAGCTAAGGTAGCTCTTACAGGCTAGAGGCTAAGGTTAAAATAAAATGCAAAGGATGAAAGAGAACCTGCTAATTTCTTCAGCTTCAATGGAGAATTTTATAGCAATCTATAGAGCCAAAAGAGAAAGAAAGACCTAGCTTATTGTTAATGATCAAATTTCTGGCACACTATACCATTACAGCTGATGTTAATAATGCCTATTATAGTGCCTCTCATATGTTGGCCTTCAACTCAACAATTCAACGAGGTTTTAATGGAGTGCTTATTATGTACGAGGTATTGTTTGAGGTATCTGAGATACAACAAAACTGGAAAAAAAGTGACTACGCTCATGGGACTTACATTCCAGTAGAATAAGACAGACAACAAACAACAAATATAATAAATAAATTATATAGTATGTTAGAAAGCAGTAGTGATCTGAAAAGAAAATTGTTGGCCTGAGAATTAGAATTATATAAATAGAACTTCTGAAAAGTCAGTTGCCTAAGGTTAACTAAGTTAAAGAACTATGGTTTTACATTTATTTTAATTATATGTAATATACTGAACTAGATACTGGGGATCTGAAGATGGATAACACAGTCTTTATCTTCAATGTCATTACAGTATCATAAGACAGACCAACACAGATGTATAGAGATAATCGTACTACAACATGCAGCATCTTATATTAGCAGTGGAAAAAAGTTAAGAGGGCAATTCTATGTGCGAGAATGGGAAAGAATGGTAGAGAATGCCAATGACATGGAAGAAGGTTGGAGTTGTTGGGGGAAGCATTTCATTAGTTTTGTTATTAATATTTGAATGGTTATCTATATTATCTATTATTGCAAGAGTAATGCATTTTTAGCAGAAAAGCTAGCTAGGAAAATTTATACTGCAAAAGATGGCTTAATTTTTTTTTAACATAGTTGGCTTGATTTTAACAGTGAACTAATATACTCACAAATTGTAAACTCCCTAAGGACAAGATTTGGTCTAAATTTTTCACACATTTTATACATACTTTATTGTATAGCAAATATTTATTGACTTGAATGTTAGAACAGGTAACCTAACAGAACTTCAAGATTTATATCATTTTTTACCGAAGTTATATTTTCAAATACTATGTTATATTCCTAAGATTCTTATTTTTGCATTAGAACATGTTGTATCTTGTACAGGTTGTTTCATGTTAAATCTTAACTTACTTTAATTTTTCACACAGGTAATATAATCTATCTCTGCTGATCTTACACTATAGACATAGGTGACTTTGAGATTGGAGAATCTTTATCACAGTTGGTAATTACATAATTTTTGACTCAGATAAACATCTAAAATTATTCTAATACCTTAATTTGCAGCTTTGCTTCTTGCAGTCGACCTTTCCATGAGGCCACAAATTTAAGGCTATCCACAGAGCAGACCACAGCCCTGTGAAAATAAAGCATCAAATGTCAGAAAGACATAATTTTCAGGAATTAAAACATGAATAGCTATAGAAGATATACACATTTCTAGTTATTTAAAATTGAAATATTTATAATGTACAAGTAATCAGATATCTTAGGCTATGCACAATACCTTAGATTTCACACTAAGTTTTTAAAGTTAACTTGTTATGTCAGTCTCCTCTTCAAGGTTGTGTAGGTATCTTGAGGATAGGGTCTTTTAGTTTTACATCCTCCGTTTTGACCACCATCCTCAAATGCAGGCACATAATGGGGGTTCAATAAATGTTTACTAGCTGAACTGAAATATGATATTTATAATATGCTCCTGAGGTACTATCAATTGAATATCCCCCAAAGCACTAAAAAGAAACTAAATTTTTTTCAGTATGTTTTTGGAAGTGTGTCTTTCATTGCATTTTAACTTCTTAAAAATGATAGCCTATATATGATATGATATTCCAAATTTGTTTTTAAAGAGTTTGAACTTAACCATCAAATACTGTTTCCCACCAAGAAGCCTAGTCAGCATTGTCTAACAGAATTTTCTACAGAGATAAATGTATTTTCATTCAGTTCAAAATGGCAGCCACTACCCAAATGTGGCTATTGAGAACTTTAAATGTGGCTAGTGTATTGAGAAATCACATATTTAATTTTACTTAACTTGTTTGGGGGAGTGCTATTAAAGAATTTTAATAGCAGGTGGTGTTAGCAGTTCTTTTCTTCCTGATACAGACCAGGGTTTTTCCATTTGACTTTATAGTAGGACCACTTGGATTTGTGTGGTGTAAGCAGGATGGGAAGAGGGGAGAAGGTTCAAGAGGGAAATACGCTTTTACATAAATCACATATGAAGGGAGGTTTGAAGTCATTATTGCTATTGCTTCAGGATGATGGGATTGCTTGTTTCTTTGGATATTAAGTTGTATGAGTTGTTTGTATATTTTGGTTATTAACTCCTTGTCAGCTGCATTATTTGCAAATATTTTCCCCCATTCCTTAGGTTGTATTTTCATTTTGCTGATGGTTTCCTTTGTTGTGCAAAAGCTTTTAAGTTTTCTTAGGTCCAATTTGTTTATTTTTACTTTTATTTCTTTTGCCTTAGGAGACAGATCCAAAAACTATTGCTACGATTTATGTCAAAGAGTGTTCTGCCTATGTTCTCTTCTAGGAGTTTTACGGTTTCATGTCTAACATTTAGAAGTTTAATCCATTTTGGATTTATTTTGAATATGGTGTGAGGTAATGTTCTAATCTCATTGTTTTACATGTAGATGCCCAGATTTCCCAGTGCCACTTATTGAACAGACTGTCTTTTCTCCACTGTACATTCTTGCCTCCTTTGTTGTGTATTAATTGATCACAGGTGTGGGGGTTTGTTTCTGGGCTCTCTAATCTGTTCCATTGATATATGTGTCTGTTTTTGTGCCAGTAGCTGTTTTGATTACTGTAGGTTTGCAGAATAGTCTGAAGTCTAGAAGGATGATATCTCCAGCTTTGTTCTTTTTTATCAAGATTGCTTTGGCAGGGACTTCCCTGGCAGTCCAGTGGTTAAGACTCTGTAGGGGGGCATGGGTGCAATCCTGGTCAGGGAAGTAAGATCCTGCATACCGAGTGGCATGCCCCCCCCAAAAAAAAAAAAGATTTCTTTGGCAATTTGGAGTCTTTTGTGGTTCCATTTCAATTTTAGGATCATTTGTTCTAGTTCCATGAAAAGTGCCATGAGTATTTTGATAGGGACTGCATTAAATTTGTAGATTGTTTTTGGTAGTATAGTCATTTTAACAAAATCATAAGAGCAACAGGTATCTTTCCATTGTTTGGAATCTTCTGCAGTTTCCTTCATCAATGTTTTATAATTTTCAGAGCATAGATCTTTCACCTACTTGGTTAACTTTATTCCTAGGTATTCTTTTTGATGTGACTTTAAACATTTTTTTTTGACTTTTTCTTTTTGATAGCTCATTATTATTGTATAGAAACATAATAGATTTCTGTATATTAATCTTGTATCCTGAAACTTTGCTGAATTCATTTATTAGTTCTAATAGTTTTTGGGTGGAGACTTGAGGGTTTTCTATATATACAGTATCATGTCATCTGCAAATAGTGAAAGTTTTAAATCTTCCCTTCTAATATGGATGGCTTTTATTTTTTTCTTGCCTGATTACTGTGGCTAGGACTTCAAATAATATGTTAAATAGAAGTAGTGAGAGTGGGCATCCTTGTCTTGCTCCTGAATTTAGAAGAAGGCTTTCATTTTTTCACCACTGAGTATGATGCTGGCTATAGGTCTATCATAAATGACCTTTACTATGTTGAGGTATGTTCTCTCTATATCCACTTTGATGAGAGCTTTTATCACAAATTGATGTTGAATTTTGTCAAATGCTTTTTCTGCATCTATTGAGATGATAATGTGATTTGTGCCTTTTCTTGTGGTAATGTGGTGCATCACATTAATTGATTTGCAAATGTTGAGCCATCCTTGCGACTCTGTAATAAATCCCATTTTATCATGGTGTATGAGCCTTTTTATATATTGTTAGATTTGGTTTGCTAATATTTTGTTAAGGATTTTTACATCCTATATTCATTAATTGGCCTTTAATTTTCTTTCTTGTAGTAGTCTTTGGCTGCTTTTGGTTATCAGAGAAATGGTGGCCTTGTACAATGAATTTGGGAATGTTCTATCCTCTTGAATTTGGGGAATAGATTTAGAGGACAGGTATTAGTTCTTCTTTATATGTTTGGTAGAATTCCCCTGTGAAGCCACCTAGTCCTGGACTTTTGCTGGCTGGGAGTATTTTTATTACAAATTTAATTTCACTACTAGTGACTGGTCTATTGAAATTATCTATTTCTTCTTAAGTCAGTCTTGGCAGGCTGTATACTTCTAGAAATTCATCCATTTCTTCTAGGTTGTCCAATTTGTTGGCATATAACTGTTGGTAGTATTCTCCTGTGATTTTTTTTTTAAATCTCTGTGGTATTGGTTGTTATTTCTCCTCTTTCATTTCTTATTTTATTTGGGTCTTCTCTTTTGTTCTTGGTGAGCATGGCTAAAGGCTTATCAATTTTGTTTATCTTTTTAGAAACCCAGCTCTTCGTTTCATTAATCATTTCTATTGTTTTTTTCTTATGTCTATTTTACTTATTTCCCCTCTGATCTCTATTATTTCCTTTCCTCTGCTGACTTTGGGCTTTGCTAATTCTTCTTTTTCTAATTCTTTTAGGTGGTATGTTAGGTTGTTTATTTGAGGTTTTTTTTTTGTGTGTGTGTGGTATGCAGGCCTCTCACTGTTGTGGCCTCTCCTGTTGTGGAGCACAGGCTCTGGATGCGCAGGCTCAGCGGCCATGGCTCACAGGCCCAGCCACTCTGCGGCATGTGGGATCTTCCCGGACCGGGCCACGAACCCGTGTCCCCTGCAACGGCAGGCGAACTCTCAACCACTGCGTCACCAGGGAAGCCCGAGATTTTTCTTGTTTCTTGAGGAAGGCCTGTATCAGTATCAACTCTTAGAACTGCTTTTGCTGCATCCCATAGATTTTTTTTTTTTTTTTTTTTTGCGTTATGCGGGCCTCTCACTGTTGTGGCCTCTCCCATTTGCGGAGCGCAGGCTCCGGACGCACAGGCTCAGCGGCCATGGCTCACGGGCCCAGCCGCTCCGCGGCATGTGGGATCCTCCCGAAACGGGGCACGAACCCGCGTCTCCTGCATCGGCAGGCGGACTCTCAAGCACTGCGCCACCAGGGAAGCCCCATCCCATAGATTTTTGAGTGCTTTGTTTCCATTTTCATTTGTCTCAAGGTATTTTCTGATTTCCTCTTTGATTTCCTCATTGACCCATCGTTTTTTTAGTACCATGTTGTTTAGCCTCTATATGTTTGTTCTTTTCCTATTTTTCTTTCTGAAGTTGATTTCTAGCTTCGTACCATTGTGGTCAGAAAAAAGATGCCTGATATAATTTCTATCCTCTTAAATTACTGATGCTTGTTTTGTGATCTAGTATGTGAGCTCTCATGAAGAATATCCCATATGCTCTTGAAAAGAATGTGTATTCTCCTGTTTTTGGATATAATGTCCTGTAGGTATCAATTATGTGCAAATGTTCTACTGTGTCATTTAAGACCTCTGTTGTCTTTTTGATTTTCTGTCTGGATGATCTGTCCATTGATGTCAGTTGGGTATTAAAGTCCCCTACTATTATTGTATTATTGTCAAGTTATCCCGTCATATCTGTTAGTATTTGCTTCATATATTTAGGTGCTCCTGTATGGGGTGCATATATGTTAACGAGTGTAATATCCTCTTCTTGTATTGATCCTTTTATCATTATATAATGTCCTTCTTTGTCTTTTGTTATAGCCTTTGTTTTAACGTCTATTTTGTCTGACATCAGTTTTGCTACCCCCGCTTTCTTGTTGCTTCTGTCTGCATGAAATATCTTTTTTGCACCTGTTTGCTTTCAGTCTGTGTGTATCTTTAGCCCTAAAGTGAGCCTCTTACAGGCAGCATATTGAAGGGTCTTGTTTTTGTATCCAATAAGCCACTTAATTAGAGCATTAGTCCATTGACATTTAAAGTAATTATTAATAGGTATGTACATATTGCCATTTTATTACTTGTTTTCTGGCTGCTTTTGTAGCTTTTTCTGTTCACATCTTTGTTTCTTCTCTAGTGGTTTGACAATTTTCTTTAGTACTATGCTTGTGTTCCTTTCTTTTTAATTTTTGTGTATGTATTGTAGGTTTTTGATTTGTGGTTACCCTAGGTTCATGTGTGTTGACCCATAATTATATCTACTTGATTTAAACTGATAAGTCATTTAAGTTCAAACCATTTTAAAAGATATACATTTTTACTACCCTCCCTGACATTTTTGTTTTTTGTGTCATATTTTAAACCTTCATGTTTATCCCTTAGCTGTTTGTTGTAGTTATAGTTGCTTTTACATTTTTTGCCTTTTAATCTATGTA